TAGCAGTTCAAAAACATGCAAATGTGAGTAGATGAATAGGTTCCGCTCCGGGGGGAAGGTAACAGCACTCCATGAAGTTATGCTGGCCACATGACTTTGGAGGTGTCTATGGACAATGCTGGCTCTTCAGCTTAGAAATGGAGATAAGCACCAACCCCTCCGAGTCGGACGCGACTGGATTTCATGTCAGGGGAAAACCTTTACCTAAGTTATCCTCATGTGTAAGTTGAGTACAGGTTTTGGGGCCAAAACTATGGATTTTGATGTGACCTGTGGATAAGTCAGTAATTATTCCAGGAAGAGGGTGTCAACACTGTTTCAGAGAGCCAGCCACTGGTATTTTCTCACCCAGGCATTGAAAAAGACTAGAAGTGGTGCCATAGTAGAGAGAGTACAGGGGATGAATGCTTCTTTTGGTTTCTCCAAAATGGGATGGTTCTTTTTTTTAAAAAAAGAGTTAAGATACACACAATGATCCATAGGTCAACCAAAGTTTTTGGGTTAGTATTTTGGTCCTCACTATCAACTGGTTAAGGAAAGCATAATGCACTATTACTATAGCTACTTGATACATAATAGTGAGAGAAGAAACATGAACATGGAATCAAACCAATTGGGATTTTTTGAAAAAATTACTTATACATTTCTAAGTTGAGAAAGGTATGTTAGATTGGATAGCTGTCTGCATGAGATCAAGTTCTATACATAATAAAGCAAAGTGAGATACAGGCTAACAAATGGGAAGAATACTAGTATAATTGATTAGTATATGTTTACTGAGTTCTAATTAGGTTTCAGGCGAAGTTCAGCTTCATTTCTGTTTCCGAAAGAAGCCTGCTTTGCCTCAAGGAACACTAGAATATATTCAAAGAGACCTGAATCAGTTTGAGAAATTGAATTCATCCCAATCCAATAAGAATCCCAATCAATAATATATCTACATTTTGTAAAAGCTGATTGACGTTTTCTTCGTACATAATTAAAATGAACTGCTTTCAAACAGTTAAGTTTTCCAACTTTTCAGAGTGGTATCAATACATTTTGTTCATGAAAGTTCTTGCCGGAGTAGAGTACATAGACTTCAATGTGTTAGACCTGTTTTCTTTAATTTTCAAGGAAATGCCATGCCTCTCAACAGCCCCTGTGCTATTAACATTGGCCTGAATTCTATTGCTAGCCCTATCTAAAGCCTATGTATTAAAACATATGTGTTGACCTACAATTCAAGAATTCATTGAATGGGTTTAGTTTGGACTAATCAAGAAGATTCCAGTCATGGCTCAAAATAACCAAACATGTTATATTTGTCAGCATGGGACACAAGCAATATGTTCTTAGGATTCTGTAGGTCAAGGCAACTACTTTTCCACATTTTTAATATTCTGTGATCCACCATAGATTCTATAAGGCCTTTCTATATCTTACTTTAATGCATCTGTTCATAAAGAGATAAAATACCATACTCAGGTGGAAACATCCCAGATCAAATAAAATATTCATATTTTTATTATTTTATGATTTTGTTGAATTTATTAATAATCTTTATATTTATATTTATTTGTATTTATATATATATATATTTATGGCTTTGAGCAAAGATGAAAGAAAAAAAGTCTAACTCTTCCCTGATGACACAATCATTGTAAGAATTTGTTTGATGTTTTTCTTTTTCAGCAGCAATATGACCCAACATCATCATGAATACATACCATCCTATACAGATGTTATTTTCCATGTTTAAAGGATTATTTATATTCAGAGAAAAATAGGTCAGTTCTCAAAATAGCAATGGATATTCTTTATATTACAGAAATGAGTCTTTTGTAACCTAAATATATATATATATACACACACATTCATACATACATATATGTATATTGTTTTATACCCTGTACCTTTTCAAATTAACTTACAAACCATAGATTTCATCCACTCTATTACAAAGTCATTAAAAAGTTTTTAATGGTTTCACTGAAAGACCATGCATGTCAATGTTTCTTTATATTACTTAAAATAAAATAAACATATGTATAAAAATAGTTGACTACTAACTCCATTATACGTCTATCTAATGTAAACTTTGAATCGTTTTAAGGACCAGAATATGATCATCATAAATTGGATAAAATTTATCATCAGTATTAAAATAAATTCAGGGTTCTATTGTACCAAAAATAAATGGTCTTGCAGCTTATCCATAATACATCAAACATTACATTCCTTGTATGCGATTCATATCCACTCCCATTTAACCATCAGCATCATATTCATGGAATAAATAACATCACTAATTCAGTTGGGAAGTGGGATTCGCTAGTATTTAAGTGTGGTTAATTTATGTAGGCATTCAAAAGATCATTGAAGGACAAGGCATAACAAGCAGCATGACATTTGGGCAACAGTTCTCAAGCCACCCAGTCTACAGTCATATCATTGGTGACAATGAGAGTCCTGTGGAGAAAACACTTTCTACACTTTGCAAACTTTGGATACAATTTATTAAGGGTTTCTCCAAAATGAATCCCATTGAAATGGACTCAGTTTGGATAGGAAACATTCTTGGTGAATTGTGTTCTTGCCTATAATTTAAAGAAACTTAACTTTAATGTGTTGTCTTGGAGCATCACACCATGTAACTCTGTAGGCATGTCTACTGGAAAACCAGCTATAAAGGGCTCTGGAGTTACTCCGATGCAGCCCCAGGAGCAGCTCCAGAGGCCTCTGGCTGTTTACATAGCTAGCCAGTTCAAGGGCACATCACCACTGCAGCATTGCAGGCAAGCAGTTCTTTCTCTGAGGCTTGCTGCTGACGTTGCAATTCTGATCTCATGGCTCAACCCCCAAAATGACATTAGTAGAAATGCAACATCACCAGCAGAAAACTGTTTGCTGTCAATGATGCAGTGATTGCTCCGCTGGTGGTGTGATCAGTGGATTTGGCCAAATCCAGCCTGATCCAACTATCCACACTTTTGAAACAGCAGGATCACTATGAAACTTGATGCAGAATAATGGCTGGTTGTAACAGTTGCGCTGCAAATCTAGTCATGAATGATATGGACCCCACAGCAATGGAGTCTACTTTCTTTTGGTAGTATAAACAGGGCCAGCATGTTTTTCCAGTGCTTTATGATGTTAGTTCAGTGGGTACATTCTTTCAACAAGGGTTACCTACTTTTTATAGAAGAGATGGACAAAGTTGTTTACATCATCATTCAACATGTAGTTCTGTTACAACATGGACAGTGTAACCGTGACCCTCCCCAGGCACTGACATTTGCTAAAGGGCTTTCTTTGGGAGGAGGGTGACACTGGTCATACAAAAATTCCTCCATGTCGGCAATACTATATTAGAAGTACGGATTGAGTGCTTCAGGGAAAGCATCACATATCTATTTTGGGATTTTCATGCATTAGTTGCTGTGTTGGATTCTTCTACAAACACAGAAACTTCTAGTTCTGTCTGATATGGCTTGTGGGCAACTAACACACTGCTTTTTGTTTGTTTTCTTGTTGCTTACAGTTATATAGTTTTCACCCTGAGACCATTGATGCCATGTTGCTTCCAGCCACATGATGGACGATGGGTATGTGTAAAGTTATGCTCTGTGATAGCAACATGCCCATTAATGTGTCAAGGATTGGCACCATAGTAGACAATGTGTGAATGGGGCCTGAATCAGCACACCTGGCTCTTGGGAAATTCTTTATCTGGAATCATCCAAAATTGTCAGGTAAGGAGAAGATGGAACAAATGAAAGAAAAAGGTTTTTAAAACCAAACTGTGTACTGTAACCCTGTCTTCTCTTATGGTCTCCCTCTCCTTTGTTCAAACATTAGAAGAAGAAATATTTTCATTCCTAGGTTCAACACTACATGCTGTAGTACAATAAATTGTCCAAATTATTATAGTATACACTTAGCAATTCGTGCATTCCCAAACAAACAGGATGCTATAGTATACTTATTTCTTTTTTAAAATATCACCACAGTCAACTAGAAAACTACAGAGAGGACAGAGGACACACCTGGAAGTCTAAATGAAGCAGTGATCAACAAAAGAATTCATTGAAGTCAATTAAAATGAAATTATGTCTAGTTAGTAACAGATTCAATGTCAGCATTACAGGAAATGAAAAGCAGAAAGCATCAATTCACATTAAACATTTTCCAAAATTAAGAAGATATATTTGGGATTGTTCATAAAAATGCTGATTGAATCTACTAATTGTACTGGCTTGTGGGGTGCTCTAATTGTTCATCTTTTGATTTGTCTTATACAAACCTTTTTTTTAAAGTTAAAATTAAATTTCCAAGCATGCGTGGAACATTTTGAGGGAAAAGAAGAAAGACATGGTGGTACTGGTGAAGTACACATAGCAGGATCAAGCATACAAATTTGCATAAAAACACTGCATGTAAAAGTAGCATTGTAGGTCTCAAGCCATTGCATTATAGTTGTGTTGCATGTTATAGTTTGTAAAATTTTAAAATGTTACATTTTGGCGTGAATAGCTGAAACTAAATTTCTAAACAAATACTTTGCAATGGTACACCACACAGGAACTATTTTTGTTGTTATTATTAGTATTTGGGTCTAAAAAGTTATTTACATTAGGATTAATGAGTTTTTGTTAATTCTCCCTTCCTCATATGAAGATAAAAGTCCACCCAGCTTTCTAAAACAGAAGAGCAATTCTAAAGATAGATTTTATCCCATGTAAACAGTATGGCTAGACCAACCTCCGCTGACAGTGAGTATGTCATTGATCCTTCAATCTAAACCTGAATATAAAAGCACCAGAAATGGAATCTGGACCTCTAAAATGGGAAATTTCTCAATTATTTTTGATTAAGAAAAGGTCAACAGGTGCCAAATCCAAGATTATAGATGTTCTAAGAATCTTGTTGCTATTATTTTTAAAGGCTTAGTTCCTGCAATTGACAATACTGTCATTGTTATTTTGCCATAGAACTGTAACAAGAACTGTACCAAGAAATCTCTTCATGTTTTTAATCAGGTTTAAAAATAAACAACATAACAACCAATGTTTATAGACTCATTTAAAAATTTCTAAGCAAGGGAGACATGAGAGGCCATTTGGGTTTCTCTTTTTTCTTCTTCTGACTGTCTGTCTGTATCTTGTACATTCGATTTCAAGGGATAAGTCTGTCTAAAGTTCTCCTTTTCATGGTAGACAGATGGGGTCTAATTGGACATTAAGTTAAAACACTTTTTCCAGGAGTGACCATTGTTTATGTCAACATCTCTGATTTTATTTATGGTCTGCATGAATCATAAGTTTGAAGCAAACCGTGGTTTGTCTCCCTCTAGTTCAGTATTTAAGACTGTGGAAGAATCCCTTTGCAATGTGGTCGCTGATGGTGCAGCTCCTCGCGTGGGGGGAATTGCTCCCGAAGACATCTGGCGGAAGAGGGCAACTCTTTGGGGGACTGTGCCTTTGCTCCCAGGCTGAAGGCCTGTGCTTTGGAAACCGGACAGTGGTTGAGGAATGGAGGCTAAAGATTCTCCCACAGTTGGATGAGGTCTTGCAATCATCATTGAAATCTCGTGGGGCAAAGAAGGCTGTGAGGCCGAAAGGGGTCTCACCTCCCTTGTCAAACTAGCATTGTGAAGAGCTTGTGTGCTCTTGTGGACATCACTTTTCTGTGATGTGCTAGGCATTTGCTGCAGAGGTTGTTGGGGCTGTTGTTGCTGCAGTTGCTGTGACTGTTGCTGCTGCAGCAGTGACAACTGTGATGCTGTAGGGGTCGCATACTGAAAAGTTCGCCCAGTGGCTAGAGGGCTTTGTACTGGGGGGCTGCAGATTGCAGACGAGTAGGAGCAAGGTGAGAAAATGGCAGCTTGCTGAGGTGTCTGGGTGCTCGGTGTTGGAGAATTCAGGCTCCCGTGGGAGAGGCTTGTCATTGAATATACAGGTGGAGACTGTGTCCTGATTGCTGAGGCGGTTGCTGAATTCAGAGCGGGCATTTGTTGCAAAAGGACTGGCCCTACAGTCTGCACCATCTCGCGGTCGTGTTTCACAATCTGCTTCAAAATTTCACTCTCCTGGTTGTTGAAAACTCCAGTGTTGAGATCTTTTTGGAATTTTTGGAGCAGAATAGAATTCTTCTTTCCTTTGAGGATGAAATGGATATAACATGGCATGTAAGTTAGCAATTTTTTGACATCATAGCATGTTAAAAATACTTTTTTCATTAAGGTCATATAAGGCACTGTCTAAAATAATTAAGACAAATATCCACATTGATTTCATACCCCACCCTTTCCCCTTAATTTGCCCAAGAAATAGACATGAGGATAGTATTAGCTGAATATAGTGATTTAGAATGTTACTTTTTAAAATTACAACTTGATTTCACATTGTGCAATCAGTGTTACAATTCCATTTTATCTGCCATGGCAACATTGTATGGAATCTTGGAGTTTGTAGTCTGGTGAGATACAAGAGTTGTGTGTCTAGAATTTACCTTCCTCTAAACTACAAATACCAGAATTCCATGTGATACTGCCATGGCAGCTAAGATGTAATCACAGCACTATAACTCTCTAAGATGAGCCCCCAAATGTTGATAATCCCCAACCAATGCAATTATGCTACTGGGGAGATTCTGGACATTTGCAGTTCAAAAAAGAAACTTCTCTAAACCCTGGGTGAGGCAGAGAATTATTGATATAATGCAGTGGTTCTCAAACTGTGGATCCTCAGGTTTTTGGCCTACAACTCCCAGAAATCCCAGCCAATTTACCAGCTGTTAGGATTTCTAGGAGTTGAAGGCCAAAACATCTAGGGACCCACAGGTTGAGAACCACTGATATAATGATTGGGATTACCAGTGTTATGTAACAGACTGAATGTCATTCTAGCACTGACCTTCAACCCATCTTTTTTTTTACTTTCACTCTCATAAAATAAGTATGGAGAAATTGATATACATCATATTAAAAAAAACTTTGCTGTGTCATACAAGATGTCCATCTAGTGCAAGAGCATGTTTCTCAAAATAGATGCCTCTTGGAAACCCTACAATGGCTGACTCAATAATCCTCTCTTCATTTTGTACTCTGTGATGAATTGCCTACATTTTAGGCCAGGGGAAAGCTCAGAAAGTAGGCCCATGAATTCTGGCAGCCATTTTATGAGAAGCTGCATGGAGGCAGCCATCTTAGAGTACCCATTTCCCAGAGGGGGCAAAGCTTAGGAGCAGCCTGGAGGGAAATGTGGAGAAGCTGTGTAATTGGCTGGGAGAAAGTGGACGGAGCTTAGCTAGAGTGCAGGAAAAAAATTGCCTGAAAGGGGACATTTTAAAATCTGACCACTCAGTCAGGGTCTGGTGTTTGAAGAGTGGAGTGAGGGTTTGTGTATTGAAGAGGGAAGTTAGGCTTTGGGAGAACTAGGAGAAGAAGAGTTAGCGAAGCCAAGAGTTGGTTAGTTAGTAAAGATAAATAACTATTAGGTAGAATAGCTGGTATAGAGAATAGAAAGATCCAAGGGAAAGGACTGTCTAGAGTTTTAAGGAAGTCTAGTCAGAGGGAAGTCTGCTAGATTCCTGTGGGAGTGAAGAGTTGTTTTTGAAATTAAGCCTTGAACTGTTTTTAAAGTAACCATACGCTCCAACTCATTACCGCAACCGTTAAACTTAAGTGCCTGTATTGTTGAAGTTCTCATAAATAAACAACTTTGTTCTTTGTTGAACAACAATGGTCTCAAGAGTGCCTCTATGTGGAATAGTTCCATAGCAGTTTAGAGAAACAGGAGTTTAAGGTTGGTGGTAGCGTTTATTAAAAAGAATATCAATGTTATTTATCTCAGAGTTCAGAGCCCTGAGTGTGAATCTAGCACAACACAGCTTATTTAAACCTCTTGCCAAACCAGAAAATAAATATTCCTTTTAAGTGTGGTGGTAGCCAGTGATCACAGAACATTACCTCAGAAAATAGTGTGTTGGTGACAAAGTCTCAACAGCCTCCAAACACTTAATTGAATTTATATAAGAATCTTTTACAAGTGGTGGTACAGTGTTGGGATTGTTAGAATAATTCCCATTCTTTTTACACTTTTGTTTGGCAAGCGGTGGGATTACCAAAGGGAAGGTTCTCCTGCCAGAAGATTTTTTGAGTTGGCTTATAATTTAAATTAACAATCCCTAATGCTTTACATACTCCATTAGGTGCAATGAAGTATAGTACTCCACTGCACCTAATGCTTCCCATTGGCCACTAAGACTAACACTCATTGGCTAGCTAGAGTAGAATCATTCAGTCTGTTTTTGAATGGTGAATCAACATATAGGTAAATTCCATTGAGTCATTGGATCTATTCTATTCAGGGCTAACAACGGGATTTAGGCTATTGGCAGAATTTGTTTACTTTGCCTGAAAAAACAAGGGGCATTCTATGTAAATTATGGCTGCCAGGAAAGCAAAGTTGCTCTATCCCTGTCACTATGTGGTTCTCCCTCAGTTGACAAGGGGGAGTGTGTATAAACATCGACATGCATAGAGATATGCTTCTGCAGTTGTTTCATTCCAGCTTTAAGCATGTATAACTACAGTAGTTGGTCTTCTTTGCCCCATAATTCACACAACAACTTACTTCTCCTCAGCCCACTGAAAAATGCTACAGAGGTTTAGGAAACCCTGTTGAGTGGGACAATCAGGCAGAGAAACATCCAGGAACAAAGTCCTTCAATTCATAAATATACAGGGATCAGAGCTTAAAGAAGTCATTTTGGACTACAATTTCCAGAATTTCTTAGCAAGCATGGCTGATTACCATAGCTGGCTGGGTCATTGAGTGAGTTGCAATCTAAAAAGAAACATTTTTAAGCTTTAGCACAGATAAATTAGATGCTCAAGAGTTGTCATTTTGCATCACATAGCTGTAATAAAAGCCCCTATCATACAATGTCAAATACATTCTGGCTGCTGGGCATTTCAGTGTCATTAGTATATGAATCACTTGATTTTCAATGAGCAAATATAGTCTATAGTTGAATAATAAGTTTCTGTGGCTTCGCCAAACACACACACACAAAAGGAAATGGAATGATTCACTTTTAAGTGTTAAAAGAGCCCATCTCTCTCCTTGCCAAGTGTCCTAATTTCCCAAATGCTAAACATGTTATGTAAGTTATAAATACATGTGCCCATTTAACACATTTCCTGGAACTAATTATTAAACATTGGTAAGCAGTGACCACCAGATTGAGAGAAGTAATCTTTCCACATGTCTGTGAACTAATATGAACTCAGCCCATATTATGTAGTACCTGGTTGTGTAACAAGAGTCACTGCATATAAAAGGAATACCTTGTATGCTGTTACAGAACAGAGGATGCATGCAGTCTGAATCCTCTGCTCTCAAACTATTTTTTTTGCCACAACAGTATTGTAACAGTGATGCAATGCCAAACTGAAGGAATAATATGATGTCTGAATTATAGTTGAGTTGAATAGTTCGACTTATCAATTTGTGGGAGGTGAAATAAAATCTGAACTTGGACACGCTACTTTGGGTAGCATACTACAAAGGGAGCATTCTACTTTGCCAATATGAAAACAATGACTAGAAGAGCCACTTCTATACAGGCAGGGTCTCTATGTGAGTGAGAACTCAGACTCTTTAGAATTCTGTTTCCTGTAGAGACCATCCATGTACAGAAGAAACTCAAAATTTACCACTTTTCTCTTGAGCAGCAGGATAAAGAAAATGAAGCCCTTTCCTTGAATGTTGATTTAATTCTCTTTTGAATATTGCTAAATATTGTTCTGTGTAGGCTTCATATGTGGTGGTCAATGGCTCTTTTAATAATAATAATAATAATAATAATAATAATAATAATAATAACTTTATTTATATTCCACCCTATCTCCCCTGGAAGGCTCAGGGTGGATTCCAACAAACAAAAAGGCAAACATTCAATGCCTCAATAGCAGTAAATACAAATATAAAAATCCAAAATAACCCCACATAAAGAGCTACTTAAGAATAACAATTATAATTTAAATAAAACATAATCAATTGAAAATTATAACTAACATAGAACTTAAACATAGAACATCTGAATTAACATATAAAAACAATACAAAGGTTCACAGACATGTGCATAGATTGTTTGGCCAAAGTTGTTAAATGGGCTGTTATCTAACAAGGCCCAACTGCATTTATACTATCTAATCGGCATTCTGGTCGTAGTTTCTCTTCCTCTAATCCTCCTCCTCTCCATAAGCTTGTGAGCAAAGATAGGTTTTCAGCTGTTTTTTTTTTGAAGGAGAAAAGGAAGGGGGGCAGCTTTACTTCTTTAGGGAGGGAGTGCCAGGGGAGGTGGGCCATCATGGAGAAGGCCCTCTCTCTCGTTCCCACCAGCCATGCTTGAGATGGGGGTGGGACCAAAAGCTGGGCCTCCTCCAATGGCCACAGTGTCCGAGTTGGTTTGTAGATGGAGATGTGGTTAGTCAAATAGTCTGGACCTGAGTCATTCAGGGCTTTAAAGGTAATAGCCAGTACTTTGCATTTAGCCCAGAAGCAGACTGGCAGCCAGTGGAGCTGCTATAGCATGAGAATGGATCTCTCCCTGTACGGGGCTCCAGTTAGTAATCTGGTTGCTGATCTCTGAACCAGTTGAAGCTTCTGAACTGTCTTCAAAAGCAGACCCACATAGAGAGCATTGCAGTAGTCTAGGCGGGATGTGACTAAGGCGTGGACTACCATGGCCCAGTCTGGCCGCTCAAGGTATGGGCGCAGCTGGCGCACAAGTTTTAGTTGTAAAAGGTACTCCTGGATACCGCCGACACCTGGGGTTCCAGGGACAGTGATGAGTCCAGAATCACCCCCAGACTGCAAACCTGTGTCTTCAAGGGGGGGGGGGTGACCCCATCCAACACAGGCTGTAATCTCACACTATGATCCGCCTTCCGACTGACCAGGAGTGCTTCTGTCTTGTCTAGATTTAATTTCAATTTATTAGCCCTCATCCAGTGCATCACTGCTGACAGGCAATGGTTTAGGGGCAGGATGGCATCCTTGGTATTTGGTGTTAAGGAGTAACCAATGGAAATACTTTATCCATGTAGGCAGACCATAACCCTCTGGCTGTACTCAATGGAGGTCTAGGAAAGAACTCTCCTATTACTCAGCTGCAAAAATGGGCACCCCTCAATCTTTGGGGGTTTGCTCCGCAACGGGATACTGCTTACCTTGTGATTAAGGGCAGTGACTAAGGGAGATAATGAGCACCTCCTTCCACCCTGCCTCTAGAGTGACATATGCTGGTGGAATCTCAGCATTATCCACGATCAGGATTCTGGCCTTCCTTTCTAGTTTGAAAAAACACTGTACATGCTTGCAGTGGCATGGGGCTCTTCATAGATAGACTTTTAGCTGGTGTGACCAAATAGTACTGTTTATTTATTTGCTCTCTTTCTATACCACCATTCTCAGCCCGAGGGCAGTTTACAAAACATCACAATTCGATGCCACAATAATACTACATGTTCACATGGGCATCCCAGGATGTGTTTCCCATAAAGAGGCTGCATGTACAAATAGGCCCTTTCTGTAGCTCTTAAAAAGTTAGAAATATACTCTTTATATTGTATATTCCCCAATGTTTTACAAGTGGAAACAGAAACATGTGTGGCCAGCAACATCAGCTTCTTGTAAAGATGGGAAAAGCTGCTAATGAGAAAGAACACAAAAGCCTCCAACAATTTACTTTTGCTTGAGCCTATTAGGAAGGGCAACATTCTGTCCCCTTCTCCCTGTAATACAATTTAAAGCACTGCAATGCAGGGGGCATTCCTGGAGCCCTCTGGCCATCCACATGATTGGTTGGACTAAGGCTGCATTGTGGTTGCCATTGTTGTGCCTGCCAGTGGCTTTCTGGTGAGGTGGCATTTCTAGATCACATGGTGGGTTGCCTTGGTGTGACCTTGCCAGGAGGAATGTCACTAGCAAGCCTCTGATAAGGAACTGCTTGTTAGCAGTGATAAAGCTGTGGATCTGTTGGAAGAATGGACAGTGGGTTGGGTCAGTTCCAGCTACATCCAACTATCCACACCTCCAAAAACAAAACCAAAACCCAAGGATCACTCCTGTGTCCTCTTGGATTGCACTAACAACTGGATGCAGTGCTACTGCTGTGAATCCAACTGTGATTTGCCTAGACTTCCTTAGCAGCTGAGTGGGGAATCCATTACTTTTTGGGCATGTAGATATGGTCTTATCTGCATGAAAACTGCTTTTGTACTTTAAACCCAGTATAAAGCAAGCTGAAGACTAAGAAGGACAAAAGTGGGAGGAGGAGACAACAACTGGAACATTATAAAAGCAGCAGAAAAGTGACAGAAGATCAATTGTGCGTGCCCCTGCCAAATAGATGCATTTTGAATACATGGTATTTGCAGCAGAGGAAAAAATTCAGCACAGGTATACTTGCATCAAAGCTTGGAAAATGTACTTTTTCAGATGTTAATTCCTAGATTCCCTCACCCATCTCTGAGAGTTGTTGTTCAACAATGTAGCCTTTCTCAAGCTCTGATCTGAGCACACATTTTTCTATGGAATTGTTCTGTCCCAGATTTATAGTTGTGTAGGAGGTTATGTGGCTGTGAACCAGAACAATCAGCTAAACAACTGAAGGGCCTTAAATGCAGAAACTGATTTCCAATAGTTGAATTAGCTCACCATGCAGATTAGGAATTATTTCTGCACCTGATTTCAGAAGAAAGGCTCTGTGGTGGATTTAGAAAACTGTTGGTGAGTTATATTTATACAAGAAATCTTTAGAAGCAGATACTGAGAGCTTCTCAAATTAATTTGGAAGAAAAATGAGCTTAGACACTATAATATTCCTCTTGAAAATATTAAAAGCAGTATTACCTGAAGTAAAAGAAGGGACGCTGTATTATCTGACTGCAAGAGCCAGAATATTATACACTAAATACTGGAGAAGTCTTCAACGGCCTAGATTAAGAGAATGATACGTCTGATTATGGGACACAGCTCTCCTAAGTAAACTGAAATGGGCTTTATGGGTTAAAAATGGGAAATGTAATGAAAACTGAGCTGAAAAGAATTGGCATTACCTTATTTGGTACTAGAATGCAAGGCAAAAAAAAAGGCATATAGCAAATCCTTATCCATTGTCAATATTTGCATGCACAAGTGTTTTTGGTTGCTATGGTTCTATAATATGTATAAAATATAACTTTTTAGAGTACCCTTTAAAAAACTAAGAGAAACACACAATCATGAAAGAAGAACATTGTTCAGTCTGTGAAGGCAGGTGAATTGTTCTACAAGTCCTCCACATGGGGTAATTGAAAACAATGGCTATAACACATACAGTGGCACCAGACTATAGTAAGTGATCACCCCATTACATGTTATTTTAATAAGAGTACTAGGACGATATCGCATTAAGCGTTTTAAAGTGCTGGCGCCCACTTTCAATAGCATGGCTGCTTCCTGCTGAATTATGGGGCCTATACTTTTGGGCAGGCTTTTGGAAATCTCTTCCAGAGAGATCCCCGGATTCCCTAAACTACAAGCCTCAGAGTTCTGCAGAAGGCAGCTACATGATTGAAAGCGGAAGCCAGCACTTAAAAATCCTAATCAGATAAGGCCCCTAGAGAAATTTCAGGATCCCCTCCTTCACATGCACATTGGCTTTCATTTCATTGGTGGCAAACACACATATAGGATTCCCTTAAGTATGTAATTTTCTGGGTGCTTTCCTTTCCTTCTTCTGCAGTGTCCACCCTCTCCTTCTCCACTCTAGATTACTCTACTGTCCCAGAAGACCTCCATGTCCAATCAATGCTTGTGGGGGCAATACTGAAGAAGTGATTGGCTTAGACTACATAGCAAAACACAAAATGATCATAGCAGTGCCTAAATCCAGTAAGGTTCTTCTGAAGGTCCTTCCAGACATTACAAAATCCTGAGAGAAACTCGGATATTATATTCCAGTTCCTACTGGACTTCAGTACTCACCACGACCCCAAACCCTGGGCTTTCCCTGGGGGGGGGGGCTGTTCAATCAGAAGTTGATCCAGGAAAGCATGGAGCCAGCCCCCAGTCCCCCCCTTTTCAGCTCCAAAACTTACCCAAGGGGCCTGGCTGCATGCTCAGGTCCCTCCTGGCACATCTAAATGACACATGAGGCTGGGGGGTGGAGGAGAGGGGACCCCCCAAATCTCCCAACAAATCATTTTTTTGGGCCAGGAGCTGTCAACAGAAGAACCCGAGCTTGCAACTAGGCCCCTCGGGAAATTTCAGGGGCTAAATGGGGGGCTGGGAGGAGAGGGTGGGGGAAGCATCTCATTCCTCTGAGCTCTGAGCTCAAAGAACTGGGATCACTGTGTGGATTTATCCCCAGGATCGAGGAAGTGATCCTGGGAGTCAGTCCTCACAGAGTCCACACATTACATTAAGGTCCGGACCTTTCCAGGTGTTTAATTAATCTGGAGTAAACTGGGAAATCCCAGTTTACTTTGGATTAATTCAGGTTTACCTGGGGCATCATTTGAACACTTCAGGTAAACCCGAGACAAGTCACATGATATTGGTCTGTCTGGAAGGGCTCTGAGAGTAGTGCTGCAAACATTTTGCATCTGGACATAACCAGATGCTTCTTTGAACCTATCTCCTTTCCACAAGGCATAGAATAGCTATGCATGGAGCAAAACTGCAGAATTAGGACAGTAAATCTAGGATGTGGGCCATGGTGTTCTAAACTACTTGATACTTCTATAGCATGCTTGTGGATATCAATGTATTTTCCTTTCCTGCAATTCTTTTTGTTATCAAAAACCTTCTAGGGTGTGTGAAACATGGCAACCTCTTCCACCATGTTTCATCCCCCTGAGCCAATTTAGATCCAAGAGAATCATTTTTACAGAAAGGAAGTGAACTGAAGGTGAAACCACTTGATACTTCTGTAGAATGCTTCAGATTATCTATTTCTTTCCATTTTCCAGCTACTAGCCCTTATTTGTTGTACTCTTTGGGGTGGGGTTAAAAGTGATGTTTGCAAAAGACTCTAAACTATGTCTTTTTGTACTTGGGTATATTTTCAAGCCAGCAGAAGCTCATGTCATTTCCAACGTGCAGAAACCCAAGGACTAGGATGTGCAATGATCTGATGCTATACAGTTTTGCATAAATTCTTTCTCTTACTAGTTTTCAATAATGATTGCACAAAACATTTAAACATTTATTCTTCATAATACATGAAAATATTCATTACTCTATTCCCTTGCCATCATATTTTAATGGGAAAAAAACCAGAAGAAACTATTTGCTCCAAAAAGTTTCCTCTCCCTCCACTCAAAATTTCACATCTCTAATCCCACCTTTAAAAACATCAGCATGGAATAAGGCAAAGTGTTACTTTTTTTTGACCCCCAAAGAAATAAAGATTAATGTATGGTTCAACAGAAAAGAAAATGAAAATGAGCATGAGAAGAAATGCATACCTATCCTGTCCAGCCTGTCAATGGCCACAGTTTCAAAGGCTCTTCTCATCATGGGGTACTCCTCCAGGACCTCATTGAAGTTGTCCACAGAGAGAGAATATAGCCGGCAGTATGTGTCTGCTTTCACACTGGCAGTGCGTCGGCCCTTGGTCAAAAGGCAGATCTCTAAAGTTAACGAAAGAAAGGAAAAAAGGGGAAACCGTTAAAGCTTGCAGCTGAAAATGAACTGATTTTTTAAAAAAGGCAATGATTTAAACCAATATGTTTTGCAGATTTGAAGGAACTTTGTATCTTTCTAAGCAAGATAAATATTGTCAACCCAATACATTTGTGGCTTTAACTTTTGTGGATTTGATTATTGAGGGATTTGATTAATATGGTATCTTGAGGAAACTACAGTTCATGAATAGAGTTGTACTTGAGGACCTAGAGATTCCTACAGAGTGATCTCTTGGGTTTTAAAAAAAGATTTTTTAATTCACGTTATTTCTACTTTCATGGAGGTCTTGTGCCCCTAACCCCAGCAAATGTGAGGAGCTGACTGTATTTGATTCAGTGTTTCAAAAACTATATACACACAGCCGCTTCTAAAATTTGACATTTGAAGTTACAAAGTACACAATTCTGAGAAAGCAAAACACTTGTAATTAATTTATCAATGAAATAATGTAATTTTTCAAGGCACTCTTTTGAAAAATTCTCCTTCTCTTTTTTTCTCTTTCTTTCTTCTCTTCCTCCTTCCCCCTTTTTTCTTCTCTCTCAATCATTCTATAAGTACAGATCCTTCCAAGATGTCTTCAGGCTTGACTTGAGCTATTTTATTGCTTATTGGTGCCACCTTTCACTGTAAGAGGAGGATCAAATGTGTTCTCTTCCCTTGAGGGTGCTTCCAACTGCATACCCTTTTCAGCTCCATGCAAGGAAATAGTATGTGAAAAATGAGAGGTAAGGCACCTTTGCTCAACATTCTATTGTTCGGGGATGGGAGGAATGGAGAATTATGCTCTTCTTTTGACTGTTTCCCAATTAAAAGGCAGGCTTCACACATTTGCTCTTTATACAGCTTCCTGTGCTAGCTCTAGCTCTGAGTTTCATTTGCATTGTAATTTGTTTTCTTAAAAGGAGACAGAAATTTTGTCTGAGTCTTCTGCAGCATATTCCACATCAATCCCTAAGGTTTGCCACTGCTAAGCAGAGTCTGAGCTTGGAGAGACAAGGGTGGGGTAGGAAAGCTCTATTCCATGAAAGCTTTCTTCCACTTATAAAAAGAAATTTAGAATCCAAGCCATTCAAAAATATAGGTGGTCACCCCCACCAGCATTATTACATTTAAAAGATATACATTGTTCAGCTAGATTTTACAAATACTAGCTTGTCACCAAGGAATTATTACCATAGATTTTAAAAAGACGATCCAGTAAGCAATGCAGGGAGAATCCCAATGGCCTTATTAGCTTGAAATGGTACTCACATTGATATCATTGCTATATGGATACCACTTTCATGCAGTTCCATTTTAGAAAAAGGTTAATATGCCAGGGTATCTAAATTCAGCATAATCAATAAATGAAACAGGAAAGGTTGTGCAGAAAATCATTAATATGAGGATCATACTAAATTTATCTCAGGGTAGAACTAACTATACCTTTAGGAATTCCCGTAGCTGAACCAATGCCATAAACTGCCATTGACTCACAGTTTCATGCCATAACCAGCAAGCAGATTAAGCCTCAGGGACCAATACCATTCAGTGCTATATTTATGGTTACCCTTTACTTGGCTGAGGAAAAAACAAGTGCCTTTTGAAGATAGGAAGAAAATGGCTGAAAATTCACATAAAATTATTTTACTTTCCAAATAAAACTCTTGAATGTTCTGTCAGTGAAAGAAGTTAAATGGCAAGCAATTTACTGTTGATGTAATAGCCCAATATGTGTTTGGTTAATAGGAAGAAAATGCCTGAATGAGTAACACTGAATGCTACTGGTCCCTTGGGTTCAATCTGTCATCAGCTGTGATTACTCAGTTGTACAGAATTGCTCTGAAACTTCCATTGTATAGCTGGAACACAAAACAACTATGACAGGGGAGGAAAACTGCAATAATAGCAGCAAAACAGGGAGATAACAAAACTTTTCATGCTACCAGGGAACTTCTAAGCAATGTAAAACACTGGCCAGAACTAGGCATATTAGAATTCTTGGCCCAAATACTATGCGCAATAAGAGTTTTACTCATCTTGACCCAGATTATAGCATCACATGATTTCTGTCACAGCCTCAAGTTTCCCATGCCCATTGGCTACCTTAATTTTTCACCATTAAGGGTGCATTTATTTATAGCCTAAAATCTAACCAGCCCTGGGATAGGTACACTTCCCATCTCAATCTTGTGATGGGAGTACATGCCATCAAGTCAGACTGAAAACAGTTTTGCCCTGCTTGGATGCCCCCTGGTGCCACTGACAGACAGTTCCTGGGAACCTTTGCTGACATTGAGAAAGGCATCCGTGCAACTAGGGAAAAGAAGGATCATTTCCCCTTGTTGCGCAGGATTCCTTTGATGATGTCAGCAAAAGTGCCTGGTGGGGCCCATGAGCCTCTTGAACTCAGTGTAGATGGGGTCTAAGTTTCTGAATCCAAGACACCACCTGTGGTTCCTCTGTTTGTTGTAAATTACACTCAAGCTGAATTCAACATATGGCGACTTTGTGAATGGGAGACCTCTAAGAATCCAAATCATCAACAGTTCTGATGATTTCTGCAAAACCAGGGCAATAGTTTTCTTGATGTAATCAATTCATTTGTAACACTGTCTTCCTCTTTTCTAATGCCTTCAAGTTTACTGAAAATAATTGTATTTTCTAATAAGTCACGCCATCTTATGATATGCTCAAAGCATGATAGCCTCATTGGAGTCATGTTGGCTTCTAGAAGGAGTTCAGGCCTGATTTGTTTGTGGACCTTATTTTTCATTTTGGCAGCCCACGGTTTTCCCTCCCTAACAGGGAGGGAAACCATATTCAGTTTTCTAACATTATTCCATTCATTTACCCTCTCCCATGGACCAAAGCCGCACAACCAAATAGAAGAGAGCAGAGCGATTAGAGGTTGCTGCTCCTTCTCCATTCTCTTGCTTAGAGAAGCAAATGAAAGGCAAGGATGAGAAAAAAACAGGACTGGAGGAGTAATAGAAGTGGGCACCTTGCTGGGATTTGGTCTTGGCATGTCCTCAACTGTGCCTACTAGTAGGATTGCCACAACACAATTTGTGATGCTATTATGGCAATATTGATTCTGCTACTTGTCAAGTACAGGTTTTGAAAGCATTAGCTCTGGGGCTGCCAGTATATCAGGAATACAGGCCTGGCCCATGAACTATGCAGAGGCAAACTCTATTATGCTTCATTTGTAGTGGAAAATTCAGAAGTCATGTAGAAGAGACTTAAATGAGATGGGTTTATCATCAATCCTATTTAACAGCTAAGTAAAAAGCAGCACATGGTTTGAAAAACCAACTAGGTATGAATATGTATCTATCTCATACTATGGAACTCATCAGTGGAAATTGTTCCCTAGAAAAAGGGGAAAGACCTTTAATCCATTTACAATGAGCTGAATACGGCCTATGGTTGTTTCATTATATACAATGAACGTGAACTGTGGAGACATCAGGATTAGAATATGAAGCATGAAATTATATTACATTTTAGAGGATTTACCGGCATGGAGGTCTGATGCTGATTTCTGGCACATTTTTTGGTCATACCAGTGTTTTTAATGCCAATTGTGATTGTGACATTTACAATATATTTAAACATTTCATTTTGCCTTTATGTACTTATCATTAACTGATTATTATACATGGTATTCAAAATTTAAAAAATTGACTTGTTAGATGAACTCCCTGAACCATAAAAGTAGTAACTTCAGATGTGGCCCTCCAAGGCCATTTACCTGGCTTCTGTCCTAAACCTTAGACTTAGGGTCATCCTAAGCCTGAAACAACTTGAAGGCACACAACAATAACAACAATCCTAATTAATTTGACTGTCTCATTAACCAAAAACAGGCCCATCTTTCTCATTTAATTTCTGGTAAGTTTATGTTGGTTAAATTGTTCTTCATTTTAACTATTGTATTTTTCTTTTATGTTTTTGCATTACAAATAAGATATGTGCAATGCAGATATGAATTCATGCTTTTTCAAACTATAGTCTTCCCGCCTCAACAGTCTGAGGGATCTTGAACCAGCCCTCTGTTTAAAAAGTTCGAGGACCCTTGCTCTAGAGTTACATAGATACAGGATGAATATTTCTTGTCCAAATACTTGGGACCAAAAATGTTTTGGATTTCAGATTTTTAATTTTTTTTGAATACTTGCATTTGTATATGAGATATCTTGAGGATGGGACCCAAGTCTAAACATAACATGTATTTATGTTTCAAATATATCTTATACAGGCAATCCCCAAGTTACAAACATCCAACTTATAAATGACATAAAGTTAAGAATGGGGGTGAGATAACAGGAAGTGAGAGAAATCTACCCCAGGAAGGGAAATTCACCCCTGAAAGAGTTATCATGGGGGAAAGGTGCCTCCACTAAAGCTTTATCACCAAACCTTGTTTATACAACAAGCCATTTTTTTCCAAAATCCAATTATCATGGGGACAGAAAGTGAGATGAAATCTTCTGAACAGGGGCACAGACAGCAAAACAAACACCACAGAAGTGTTAATCCTTCCCTATGCTGTCCAAAACTGAATATATATTTTGCCTGGATAAAATGTACCTTTTCTGACTTATAAAGTCAACTTAAAACACTCCTACAGAATCTATCTTGTTTGTAACTTGAGGACTGTTTGTACACATAATCTGAAAGTAATTTGTACAATATCTATAATAATTTTGTGCATGAACTTTTTTGTACATTGAACAATTAGAAAACAAAGGTGTTAGTATCTCAGCCATCCTTGTGGCCAATTTCAGATTTTTAATACTGGCTACCAGTATTAAAAAACTCAAAAATTATAACAGCTAAACAAGAGAGGGGAAAAAACCAGGCACAGATTAACACCTCCCAGCAACAGATTTTCCCAGACTCAGGCAGGCCTTCAAATGCTAATGAAGGTGATCAGCTAAACATTCACACCTAACTGCAG